TATTAAGCTTCTGATTTATTAAATTTACGTTTTGAGAGTTTAGTGAATTACAAAAAGACTTCAATTGCCTGCTAAGTTTCTTCAGTGTAGATGCAACAGTTTTCTTTTTCTCATTTTAACTCTATGAAAATAAAAGTGAAAATTTTCCATATAATTTTTTAAAACCAAAATGTAATTATATTTAAATCTATACTGTTCACTTCAATATATATATTAAACTTACGGATACAACAGTTTGACTTTTATCAATGTAGTCGTGGTCAAAGCTGATTGTCTGTGGCTCGTCATTATTTGTACTCATGCCTTCTGAACTGCTACTTCGAACTCTTCGTTTTTGTACGTTAGTCGTCATTTCAATTGATTTATGGACATCTATTTGGTTATCTGATGAATATGTACTTTCAACTTTTAGAACACATGGCTTTCTGTCAAATTAAAAACAACTAATATAAGAAAAGTCGACAAAATAAATGTAAGGTTAAAAAAGTTATTATTCTTCGTACCTGTGATTTCTTAGTCTTTTTTTTGCAGTGTTTTGAAATTCGTTTTTGCATTCTGAACAATAAGCAACTAACTTCTTCAAAGATTTTCCAACATTCTTTGAATCAACTATCACACTGTATCAAGGTTGAAAGTGACCTTCCTCCCAATAAGAATGCAATCCACGCCCATCTTTATTCATGTTTACTTTTTTCAAGTATTTATTGTAAAAAAACAACCATTAAACTAATGCTTAAACCGTTTCATTTTTCTGTAAGGTTTGGTCATGCTGGGCTGAACAGAAGATAGGTTAAGGCACAAAGGCACTGTATATTCGAAATTCGATACTTATTTCTTTATCCAACATATGGCCTGAAGGTTGCATTGGGCATCAAACTTTTAACCATCGTGGCCAACGTTGAAAGTCCATTGTCAGACCGGTCAGATATCACTGACATGACTGACATCTGACATGTGACGATGTGACATAAGTGTTGAGTGTGTCCGAAACTAATGTGTCAGAAACTTGTCTGAAACTCGTGAGATAATTTACCAGATATCTTACCTGTCAGAAACTCTGTATGTTACTCTAGGTATCATACCAATCCACCGCTGCCCAGGAGACGTTGGGAAAGAGCACTATAAGAGCACTACGTCTAGTAAGACCAAGAGCTTAGCTCACCGATCTTTTAAGGGGCCACCTTACGTCGAACTACCTTGCTTTCTTTGTTACAACTCAACAAAGTTGGCTGCAAAAGCTCTTATAGAGCTCGTAAAAGTTTTTTACAAGGCCTATAATTGTAAGACGGCAAATTGGGAGGAAAACTTTAAATTCTTTAAATGTGTATTATTTTGGGCTTTAAAAAACTGATCCGGAACATTGATTGAGATTGGAATGGCAGTGTCAAAATCGGTAAATAAATAATCAATTAAGTGACCAATTAGCTTTTCATTTAAACCATAAGATTAATAACTTAAATCTTTGATCCATTCAAATAGGTTAAATTGGATGTATTTGTATTCATAATAGTGNATAAGAAAGTTCCATTTATTTATAACATTCAAACGTACCTGCTTCTCAAAGGCATTTTTAAACAATTTAATCCGCACAAATCGATAAGGTACACATCATACCTAAAAATATAACTATTAAAAAAGATAATCCGGTTTCAGTCACCATTCTAAAGTGTCCACAAAAAATTGACAGCCTATCAACAAAGATACATTTTAATAAATAATTAACTGTTTGCGAAAACTATACAGACGATTGTATTGAAACTGGTAGCATTTATTGGCACCATAAAAACACACAATTTATTCTGGATTTGACAACACTTGAATAAAAGGATTGTTAGTTATTAACAATTGACGAAATTCCCTATTTGGAGGGTTTTCTTAACTTTGCGAATGAATAAATTATCCGAGTTTCAAAATCCTTGCGACATCTTGTAGGTCTTTTTACAAGCTAAATGTTCCACTTTAACGTTTTTTTAAAGAATTTACAGTTTTTTAGCTATTGTTAAAAATCTGATTGTTTTAACTTGAACAATTTATTTAACAACGTTTGATCAACAACTAGTTGTTGCCTAAGACCCTTTTTCAATAGTCTATGTTTCGGCTATACAAAGATATTTTTTTTTCCTAGTATTTTTGAGTTTTTGCTATAATGACACTTTTTGACTTCTAATTTTAGATGCACTACCGATTTGGAATTGCAGACAGATAATTCATATTTAATATTTCACATTCGTGGTCCATCTAAATGAAGGCTTCAAGGGAACTCTCTCCAAATCATTAATTTAATAAGGAAATCACTTATGATTAAAAACGCACTTGATTACGGAAGCGTGCCTGCACATTCGACTTTCCTTCAACAGAAAAGCGTTTAAATTTAGATCATTAATCATCAAAGATAAGATTATATTTTTTATTAGGTCCGAATCTTTAAAGATTGAGCAATTAGCCCTTTTCATATAGTATAACATGGGAACGGTCTTTCTTATGTTTAACAACTATTTTATAGCGTAAGAAATGCACGATCATTTGAAGTATCGATAAGTTTTTTAAGCATTTTTTCATCTTATCCAACGAATATTGCATGGTACTTAAACAACAACTTATTTAGTTGGAACTTCTTTACCTCAAAAATTGTCAACGATACAAATTTGTTTTGTTTCTGCAATAAGTTTTAATTGATTTAAACAAAGGGGAAGAATTAAACACGTGAAACCTGTGTGAAATTTTTGAATCCTGTTTTTCCAAACACACGTTTTTGAATGTAAATTTGTTTTAAATTTTGAGAACAACTTTTAGGAGGTTTGGTCGTTTTTTCTGGGAAGGGGTAAGCGGGTGTGCAGGGGCTCTCGTACGCTAGATAACTACCACCGACCGCGACATCAGTTGTCGAAATGCCTTAATAGAGGGGTGAGAAAAGCTAAACAGGAATGTGGTAAGCATGTACAAAGAGTTACTTTGTTTTTAAATTTTACGTGATTATGGGATGCTAAAAGGGGTATAAATGTTTGTGATGGCTGAATTTGGTATCCAAGTAGTAATAACAAGTGTGTTTTTACAAAACAAGTAATCTACGAAGCTGAAATCTTGTGAAATAAACTGACTGTACGGAATCAATTTAAGCAAATAAGAGTAAAAGAGAGGTCAGGTTTGCTTGTCTCTCTCTCTCTCTCTCTAGCTCTCACGTGTTTAAATAGATCCTTACAGCCCATACAATTCTGACTTCGTAGAAAAACTGTCTTTTTAAAATGCTCTCGTTTTGAATTTTTTGGTGACTTATTTCACTGTCGCAAACATTTCTACAACTTGCAACGTTCTATAACTACATAAAACTCATTAACAAAATTGCTCTTTTTACATGGTTATCACATATCTACTCAGCTTCTCTCACCTCTCTATTAAAAAATATATCCGTGAGATGGCACGGGCGTTTCACACCATAGGTAGTTATTTAATGTACAAGATACCGTGTTGAATTGAAAAGTAGTAACCATACATGGAAATGTCTGCCTACTGCATCACGGTTAATTTAACTGTGTGTCAATTCGTTAGTGCCAAAAAAATAAACTAATAAATGTTATGAAAAAATGACGGTACATACTTTAATGCAGCTTTTTTCCGATAGTTCCAGTAAAAAAACTTGAAAACATGTTGTTTGCATGGTAAAAAGTAATTTAAAAAAAGAAGAAGTAGACTCAACTTTTGTCAACAAAAGTGTGTTATGAATTTTCAAAAAAAAAACTTTTTTTGCACAGCATTATAGATGGAAGTCTTAAGAAGGTATGTGTAAAGTCTCATATCATAATTTCCAGTTTAATAAATTCCAGAAGCAATTTGTTAAGACGTCTCACTGCGTGTGGAAAGATCAGCTGACACCAGAGAATGTTCATTTCTTTCTCATACACTTAGCATAAGACCTGCTCGCAACTTCGTTTACGTTTGTACTGATATTTCTTTCAAATGCCCCATTAGGTGTATATTTTTTTGATACGAGAATCCTCCGTAGAATATAAGCTATCGACTATAACTTTTTCTCATCATAAATAAATCCTTAGCCTCGAAATTTTTACAGCAAAAGCTGAATAATCGCTCTCGCCTATAAGAGCAATGCTGAATAATGCAATTTTAAGAATTCTGTTCATGAAAATTCGGCTAATAAAAAATATTAAAAAAATTAATGTGTACTATAAGCATGTTGAAGTACTTTTTTTTTTCAAGTAAGCGAATGAATCTCCTCAAAATCGATCATATACCTCCTAAAAGGTTGGGCAATAAAGGGAATTGTAAAATCTGTAAGCAAGTATTCATTAAAGTTTTCTGTAAATAACATTTTAAATAAATGTCTTGCTTGGAAATTTACAAAGTTATCTCCAAAAATTATTAAAAATAATACACTAATCTAAATCGTCAAGGCATTGCTTATTTAACTGAAAACCTTGTGGGAGCTTAAATTTTTTACATTGAATCGTCGCGAGAATTTTAAAAAACTGCTTGTTCTTTGCTCGTAAGGTAAAAACTATTTATTGTTCTTTGGAAGAATAAACATTTAAAGTAAAGAAACCAAGAAATAAATTTTCAACAAAAAAGCATAGTTATATTTCACATAATTTTTTTGTGTGTTACCAAGTTTAAGTCAAACCTATAATAAAAAAAAAGGAATTTAACTGCATACTATTAGCGATATACGATTTTACAGCTCAAGCAAATTTTCTATAAAATCAATAAAACTTACCTTATTGAATGCATATTATTTATCTGCTCACATTTTTATGGATTCATCGACATCAATATATATATTTTTACCATTCAATGTACATACAATTTTAAAAAATAACAAAATTACTATTACCACCTACATCTGTCTTAAAATTTTGAAAAAATTAAAAATAGTCTTTTTTATAAGGACAAATCATGAATAATTTCAGATTGAAGTTATGATATCATATAACGTTATCAACTGTTTTAATAATGTATACTACTTAATATGAGTTTATTTTTTCTTTCAGAATCGTATGCAAGAGAGTCTTAAATTATTTGATTCCATCTGTAACAATAAGTGGTTTACAGATACGTCTATCATTCTGTTTCTAAATAAAAAAGATTTATTTGAAGAAAAAATAAGAAAATCTCCACTAACCATTTGCTTTCCAGAATATGCAGGTAAATATAACTTTTGTGTAATTTATAATAATCTTTTAGATTTGTTCTTTAAATCTAATTTCATATGGAAAATACTAGAATTACTGTAGTTAGATTTTAGTAATTACATAATAAGTAAATATGTGTGATTACAAACTTCGATGTGGAGCTTAACGAAATTTCTTTAACATACAACCGAGTTTTAGATGTATCATTACGAAGCTGTCACTGATTGTTCTTAATCGCTCCAGAAGCGTGCCTGCACATTCGACTTTCCTTCAACAGAAAAGCGTTTAAATTTAGATCATTAATCATCAAAGATAAGCTTATATCTTTATAAAAACTAGTTTTATCGAATACCCAGGAAAACAATTTATAGATATAGAGAGCTACAGAACAATGTTTTTAAAGTTTTAACTACTGATGCTATTTTTCTACCTAAGAAACTAGTAAAAGAGGCTGAAAGAGTAACTCTAGTAGATTGACGCTTAAGTAGTAAACACTATTTTTCTTACCAAGGGTGCAATAAACATCCAAACGTCATAAAAAATGCCTGGGGTAGGCAAAAGTATATGTCGTTACATACTGGTTAGAAACTTCTAAGAATTAACTTTCATTAAAGGACTTTTATATGGTCAAAAATATAAGTTCTTATACCTAATAGCGTGAAACATCAGGAAAAGCACCAGGACCAAGAGAGTCCTTGTGTTTACGCTAGTTGAATACGTACTTACCTAATGCAAACTTTATTTTTAGAGTAGTTTGGTGTTAAAGAAAATGCTAACAGTTAATTTGAAAATATAAAATGAAACCTAATAAAATGTAAAATAATAACCTTCTTGCTACCCTGCGATTGAAATTTTTCAAAACAGAAGGGATTCTATAAACATGTTTCCCTTAAGCAATTCGTTTGTTTCCTAAAAAAATTTGTATGTTACGTAGACCACAAGAAGTCTTTTCCATTACTTTCAAACCTTTTTCGTGGTATTATTTATTTTAGGCAGAGTGCCGGTCATTTTGCCGATGACTCCAATTAACGAAAACCAAAAAACCGAAGATCACAAAACCGAGAGTTATTTTGATGAATTTCAATTTTCCGCGTGCGTAATAAACCTGTAACCAGTAACCATCTAACCGAAAGTTGAATTTGGTGAAAGTCATTTAAGCGAATATCCATAAATCCGAAAATTCATTTTACCGTAGGTTTAAATTACAGAAGGCCTATTTTTCCGAAGATTCGCTTTACCGAAAACTAGTTTACCGAAAGTTAAAATATCCGAAAACCATTTAACCGTAGGTGCAATTATCCAAAAATTTTTAAACTATATATTTACGTTACAAATGACGTATTACGACACGTTACACAAGTACATTTGATAAAAAAGTTGTTTGAAGTAAAAGGATAGTGAAAAACTGAGCGCTATAGCTATTTTGGTGGTGGAGAAAAATCATCTTTGTACAAGTAATTTTTTGTAGCCTTGGTGCACAACTTTCTATGAATACAAGGTAAGCTGATTAACGAAACATTCTCTTTATACCCAATTTACTATTTTAACTGTATACGTTAATTTATTCATTATTAACAATAATATCGTACTCACCTACCTCTGAATATATTTATTGATAAAATCAGGAACATTGACGGATACTTTAGTGGAAAAGGAATCTGCAGATCCCGTTTTAAGAAATCAAAAATAAGCTACGAAGAATGCCTCAATGATAAAAATAAATAATCCTTTTTGAAATTTTTGAATACATATTTGAACATTACTCTCCATATTTATATTATTTACATTTGTTCTTTTTTTCATTATTCAGAGGTATTGCTCTTCGTGGTTCACATATTTACCGTTTCCAATGTGTCTACGTGTATGTGTGTATGTGTGTATGTTTGTATACACGTGACACATACATATACACACATATTCATCGTACACGGGTTGCAGTTAGATACAAAAAAAACCGGTCATTTGTTACAAAAATTATTTATTGTTAAATTAGTTGCTTGGACTATTTCTGCGGAGGTTAAAAATATGTCTAATCAATATTTTTACAAGTATAGTTGATAAGATAGTGATCTTTTTTTCTGTCGATGCGATTCGAAGGGCTGGGGACCGAAACCAACGAGCAGCTGAGTACGGCCGAATACGTCATCATACGTTAATTATCACCTCGAACGAAAAGACGTTACTACTTTTCTTACAAACTTTCAAAATCAATACACAGAAATGGTGGGATAAGTTAACATGGGTATTTGCACATTCATTACATTAACTAATTTAATGATCAATTGACTGTGCCGATTTAGTAAAAGAATATTGTTTTTTGATAAAACGACGGTGAATTAAAAACAAAATAATCTAGAGCCACTTTTTTCCTTTAATTCGTAGAAAAATTGCAGCTTTACGATGAACCTAGTCACATACCTATACGATGAAAAATAAGAAAGTTCCATTTATTTATAACATTCAAACGTACCTGCTTCTCAAAGGCATTTTTAAACAATTTAATCCGCACAAATCGATAAGGTACACATCATACCTAAAAATATAACTATTAAAAAAGATAATCCGGTTTCAGTCACCATTCTAAAGTGTCCACAAAAAATTGACAGCCTATCAACAAAGATACATTTTAATAAATAATTAACTGTTTGCGAAAACTATACAGACGATTGTATTGAAACTGGTAGCATTTATTGGCACCATAAAAACACACAATTTATTCTGGATTTGACAACACTTGAATAAAAGGATTGTTAGTTATTAACAATTGACGAAATTCCCTATTTGGAGGGTTTTCTTAACTTTGCGAATGAATAAATTATCCGAGTTTCAAAATCCTTGCGACATCTTGTAGGTCTTTTTACAAGCTAAATGTTCCACTTTAACGTTTTTTTAAAGAATCTACAGTTTTTGAGCTATTGTTAAAAGTCTGATTGTTTTAACTTAAACAATTTATTTAACAACGTTTGATCAACAACTAGTTGTTGCCTAAGACCCTTTTTCAATAGTCCATGTTTCGGCTATACAAAGATATTTTTTTTCCTAGTATTTTTGAGTTTTTGCTATAATGACACTTTTTGACTTCTGATTTTAGATGCACTACCGATTTGGAATTGCAGACAGATAATTCATATTTAATATTTCACATTCGTGGTCCATCTAAATGAAGGCTTCAAGGGAACTCTCTCCAAATCATTAATTTAATAAGGAAATCACTTATGATTAAAAACGCACTTGATTACGACAGTGATAATCGTAATTTTTCATGATCAAAGGCTTAAGGATATAAAGTAGTGACACCAACTGATAAATGAGTAACTACCATGTTCGCGGGTCGACAGTGCTGTTTTCATTTAGGGGGTTTTGTCTATGTTATATCTTATAGAGCAAAATAATTACAGTGGCCGCCGTTGGGAGATCTTATCAACGGTACGTGTTACAATGACAAGCAGCGCCAGTTCTCCCCACTAACGTCACCCATATGGAAAATTTTAGGTTATTAAATCATGAGTTAATGTATGATTAGTATACAAACAATTGATCGTGCTAGCCTATATCTTACTTGTTTGAAGAATACTTAAACCTATTGTTATTATTATTATTATTATTATTATTATTATTATTATTATTATTATTATTATTATTATTATTATTATTATTATTATTATTATAAGTTTTGCTTTCGTCAGATATTATAAGAAACCGCTTTAACCAAGAATAACATTTCGATGTCAAACAGTGTATCACTGCGTCTTTAAGGGGGCTCCTTCACGAAAGTCCCCAAACAGAGATATATTATTTCTTGTAAATAAAAGTCTACTGAATGTAATGGTGGTCTAAGTTATATTTCGAATGGGTCAAAATTTTGAGAAATCCAAGCTCAAAGTTGTAACTATTAGCACGTGTTCCTATGGGGCAGCGTGAGAAGCAATTTGTTTTCATTTATAATGAACCTAAATTAAATGTCCCAGCAGACTGAATATATACGTTTTGTAGATGAAGTCTTCCTCTGTAATATGCTGTATTAAAAATTGTGGATAAAGGACCATTTTAGCAAGATATTTGTGATGGAAATAAATAAATTGTGTCCGGGAGGTCAGGTGGTCACGTGGGTAGCAGACGTACTTGTTCACCTAATCGCGCGAGTTTTCAAAAAGTTGAGATTGCCTTTTCTCCATCCTCTTGAGACTCTATGTGCGTGGTATTCTTTTTTTTAGGTGGATTAGAAGGACCGTCATCCATTGTTTATCAATTAAATGATGTTAATGACATACAGATACTAAGCACTATAGAGGTAGAGTAATAGCAGAAAGGCATGCAAACACGATACATATATATACCATATACCGATATATTACATCGCTATACTACACGAACACAGCTAGTGTACCACTGTACCCTCGTATGCACTAGACTGGTCAAAAAAATAATTATTTTTCGTACAAAGTTAAACTACACACATAAATATCATTTTTCCCACTTCATACATTATTAAAAATATTATAATGATTTTTAGACACATTTGTTTATTGAAAAACAAAACTTTATTTTTTGTTTGTCTTTGACCTCAGCAGTAGTCGTAGGAGCCCCCTTAACAAATAGAATAAAAATTGAAATAATATTAACACTTTCAATTTCGCCAAAGTCATAATGTTTTTTTTTTATGATTTTCGACATCTACAGTAACTACTTCGCCTGCAATAATTTTATATGTTATAAGTATCCCCTTGCATATTTTCGAATTTTACTGAAAAAATGGTAGTTTCCGTCGGATAAGTGCCATCGCCATTGGGGCTATTTTGCTGCCCAAAGGACCTATACAAAGCAGGGCCCAAGAGACGTAAGATAACTCTGGTAAGATGGCGCTGATGTACTGAACACTATTTTTCCTACTACATGAGGGCACACGCAACCTTCAAGAATGCCTGAGATAGAAAAAAAAATTTGTTTGCTTCCGTTCACGTGGAATGTTCCATATATGTATATGTATGAAATGAGTTTTTATGATTATACTTC